TGGGAATTTCATGGCTCACAGCTGGCAGCTGTGTCCACAGAAGAAAGAGGAACTTGATTCCAGTCATGATAATGTCTTCCTTCTGGACATGAGGGGTGATCCCAGTTTTTGTCACTTCTGAGGCATTGCAAATCATAAAAGATTACAACATATAGGGTTACATCAAACTACATATGACAAGAATCCTTCAGTAACTGGATATGCTGGTCAGAAAGCTCTCTTGTAGGCAAAGTCAACATGGGACTGCCATTAACTTTATGGAGCTCTTAACACAGAAGGCAACTGGGAGGCAGTCAGGGGAAAGTTCCCACTCTACACCTCCCTCAAGGCACTCACTCCCTGCATCTTGCCAAGAGACTCAAGAGAGGTGCAGTCTCTTCTAGACCACAGCAGAGGAGAACATTTAACTTACTGGGTTGTGGATATCGATCCATTCAGTAGCTTTGGACTCAATGAACTTTCCATCAATAAACAGTTTCGTTGTTGGCTGCAGAAGACAAAGCAGAGGTCACAACATAGTATTTCTACCTCACCTTTATGCCTATTCAAAGTGCCTTATGCTTGATGGGCCTGGCAGCACCACCTACTTCTAGGGCTGACCAACACTTCTCACTGTGAAACCGCTTTCAGTTGCTTATAACTTTATCAAGCTTTGTTAGGGCTGAAATTTTCCATGACAGGTGTCTGCCGGAGACAGATTTTTATTTTTTTTTTTAATTTCTGCCAAAATGTTTCAGCTGTTTCTGAGGACAATGTTAAGGAAATCACACTGCTCATGTTGAAAAAGTCTAGGGGTACACCAATAAGAGATTTTTTGGGCCGATAGCGATGGCCAATTTTTAAAGAACCATATTGGCTGATAACAATCCAATAGCCGATATGGAGCCAGGCAGCGTTGGGCTGGTAAGTCTGTTGTGGGGGAAGGGGCATGGCAGGGTGCAGATCAAGGCCCCTGCAGTGAGGAAGGCAGTGGGGCTGGGGCAGGAGCTGCACAGCTGGGGCAGGGTGCAGGACAGAGCCGCAGCTCGCCTGGGAGGCATGGGGAGGGGGGTGCAGCTCCTGCCAGTACATGCATCCTGGGGGGACATGGGGTGGGGGTGTGCCCCCAAATCTGCATGGGGCAAGGGTAGGTTGGGACCGGGGCAGTGCTGAGCTCTTCCTGGTGGGAGGCCAGGCTGGGGGGGTTCTAGCCACCCCAAAATTTGCCATATCCCTGCTCCCAACATCACCACTGCCCGCCCCCGAGCGCAGCCCAGCCAAGTCCAGTCCCACCAGGAAGAGCCCAGTGCCGCCCTGGTCCCATACGCAGATCCAGGGACACACACCTGCCATGCCCTCCTGGGGTGCATGCAGTGGCAGGAGCTGCCCCCCCCTGACAAACCACTCATGGCTCCGTCCCACACCTTGCCTGCCACTGCCCCAGCCCCACTCCCTCCCTCACCATGGGGCCTTGATCTGGCCCCCCATAGCCCTTCCCTCACAACAGGCTTACCAGCTGGACCAAACTGCTCTCCATGCTGCTGGACTGCGCTCCCGGCTGCCTGTGTGCTGCGCTGCATGCGTACACAGGGCATTTATTGGCCACATCAACCAAAAAAAAGCTGATTGCCAATACTGTCAATTTTCCTTATACTGGTGCCAATTTGATATGGGACTGATGTATCGGGGTACCTCTAAAAAATTCTAATGATCTTCCTTTGAACAGCTTGAATACCCACCTTTCTTTGGAGTGATGACTTGAAATCCTGTAGGCGTTGGCCTTTGTATCAGAGATGTGACACTTGCCATCACCAGGAAAATCCACCCATGTTTGCCAAGTCACAGCTCTAATAAAAGCTTCCAAAGCCTTGGCAAAGAGTGCAATTTTAACAGTTAAAGTCTCCAAACTATCTATCCCTACTGGGCATGCTCAAATTTTTCATAGTTCCTAGGGGTGACCAGACTGTGCAAGCTTCATTCCCACTATGTAACAAAGCATACTTCTTTCTGTAAAAGCTACGCAGGCAAAGCTAGACTTTTCCTGTAACGGCTACTATCAGATGGGCACTGGAACAGAGCAGAAAGCCAATGTCTCCCAGGCTCAAAATGGACTGTTCTGGATAGTGTCCAATCCAAATTCAAGGGGAACAAATAGCAAACCAGGGGGGAGAAGGAGAGGTAGACTGGGACTATGAATTTGGGCAAGATTGGAATTGGAAATGGTGGCGACAGAAGGTGTAATTAGGATTAGCTAAATGATAAGAAGATAGGGGTTGACTAAGCAAAGGAAACTGGGAGTGAAGGGCAGGTGAAACTAGAACCGAGAGCCAGTGAGGCTTATTCACTACATGTTCTCCTACTTCTGCAGTAAAGCAAAGTGGCGTCCAACAAACAGTCCTGATCTATTTCCAGAGCACATATTCTGTGGAAAATATACCCTTAAATCTGGCATTTCCTAACATTCTCAGGCATATCCTAACTCCACAGTATTCTTTTAATGTCACTTTTTGTAATTCCCTGGGTTTTTTAATTAAACTGAAAAACCAGAAATGCCTCGCATTGTTGGGTGTGAGATCAGCCCAGTTCACCAGCAGAGTTGGAACCTTTAGATCCCCCAGACTTTTGTCACTTGAGCCAATGGAGTAAGTGAGAGTGGCAGGGGGGGAGATGCATGCTTCAACATTGCGCTATACAGATATTTGCTGACAGCAGAGGCATGACCTGGGAATGCCGGGTTGTATGCCAGGTTCTGGAGGAAGGGGAGTGTGCTCCTGTGGGCACTACTCTGTCCTCTCCTTGTGTGTATCCCTCCCACTTGGTCCCATCTCAGTCTTGTTTACTGCTCACTGCTGGATCCTTGCCCCAGAACCGTTTTCTCTGCCACTCAGATCCCAACCTCCAGCCAATGGAGCACCCCAAACTGACTTTCATTTGTAACAGCCGGGGAGTCCCTGCTTCCAGGAGAGAGGGGCTCTGGGAGCAGCGCCTGCCTTTGGTGGCTCCTCCGACTCTCCTTTGCAGTCAGGCCTCCTTGGATTCCAGGTTGGATCCTTTAGGGAAAGCTGCCAGGGGAAAAAAAGAACTCACCGCGGAGGAGAAGGCTGAAGAAAGCCAGGGGGACTTCACTGTTGCTGGGATCTGCAGGAGAGGAACAGAGATGCCTGCGATGGAGATGGCAGCAGGGGGCCGTGAGGCGCCGCCCGGGACCTGCTGCCCCAACCCGGGGGCAGCGCCGGGCCACCCAGGGACACTGGCTGCAGGGAGCGGTGCAAGCCG